TCTCTCTCTCTCTTTATTGTTCGCAGCCCTTAGGCTGCGCTATAGTGGGTTTCCGCGTCTGTGTCAACGTGTCGCATTTTTGGCGCCAGGCGACCAGGACGCAAAGTGGGTTCTTAGGGGGCAAAAAATTTGGGGGATCGGTCCTTGGCAGAACTGCGGACTACCTATAGTTAGCTCTGCTAGAACCGGGACTTTTGGAAAAAGGAAGGACCGGTCCTCGGGTGGAAGTGGACCCCAAAAAGAAGTGGGGGGCGTTGGACCGGACCCCGGGTAGAAGCGCACCCCAAAAAGAAGCGAGGGCATGTTTGCAGCCCGTCAGGGGTGCGTTTTATGCCCTGGGAACATTGCGTTTTTTATGCCCTGGGAACATTTTTCGTCGTCGTCACTAAACGGTGCGATAGTTGGAAGGGTGTTGTATTTGTTGGGGGTCCAATTCGTGGGAAATAGGCAGTTTAAGGAAGTGCAGGATTGGTAGCTGCCCGTGGCATTAGGGCCTTGAAATTTCGAATCTGAAACGGCGTGGACGCAGGCCCTGTGGTGAGTTAGGGCGGGTTTTTAGGGGGGGCGCCGACTGGAAGGCGCGGGCGGGTCCAATCTTGCAATTTTCGAGCGCCAACTTTGGAGATTTTTCGTACGCAGAATAATTGGAAAAAAGATCTGAAAATTTGATATCGGGTAGGCCAGGTCGTGATCTTTCCAGGAAAAATATCAACAAAATAAAATAAAATTGTTTAGACTATGAAATAAATGCCGCACCAATTCGTCACTTTTTCCATTTTTGGCACACGACAACTTGTGGGCCAACGGGAAACGTACCCCTATTTCAAAGATTTTTCACGCTCAGAAGAACTCGTAAACAAGTCTGAAAATTTGAGGGTCCGTAGATTTGGTCATGTTCTTTTCAGGAAAAATGTTTTAAAAAATTAAAAACATTGTCTCAACTGCGAAATAACTTATAGCGCAAATTCATCCCATTTTCCATATTCACCACTCTGCCGGTTCTCCTCTTTGTGCTACTGGTAGCCCTCATGGACCTGTGCTACCGGTCCCCCGAATTTCCAACGTCAGGTAGAGTGGTGGTTTGAATTCGAAGCCTGTCGTGGTCGAAATCGAAACAGGCCAAAAGCAGCGGCGGCCGCTCCCGTTCCCTCTGCGTTCACAAAGTG